CAGGACCTGGTCTCCCCCTTCTCGGCCGGTGAGAGACCCTCACTTCCATCTGCTAAGAGGGCTTCTCGTGTAATGAAGTAGAATCATGGAGTGGCAGCCGGTCACCTTGGCCACATGCTATTGCTGGAGTCAAGTCATGGATTCCATACGGCCTCAAGCAGGGGAGTTAACAAGGGTGCAAATCACTGGGGTCCTCAGAATCCTGCCCACTGCATCGTCTAGGTGACTGATCTCCATACAGAACAGTCACCGTCTTCACGGGCACGCCCTGCCCCCTCCACACTCCTTCCTCACTTGACTTTAACCCCAGACAATGACACCAAGTCGCATTTTACCTGTTTATTCCTGATGTATTTATTAGACGGTAAGCCTCAACGTGAGCAGGAGTTTGCCTGTGAGATCCTGTATCGCCCTGCGTTGTTTTGCCCCCCAGCTGATGGATGCTGGGCATTAAAGAATACTGGAGGGTAACTGGACAGACAGTAAGAATGATTCCCATCTGCTGCCCCTCGCAGGGCGGCCGCCTACCAGATGCGACGTCCTTCAGTCATGGCCTTTCTCCTCCTTTCAGCAATGTTTAATCCCTTCCTGAACCCTTTTCTTCCCCAGACTTCCTTGGTAACGTATTCTCTCGGAGTTTGAAAGTCCTACGTGCCTAGCAGGAGCTTCTCAGTCACCTCCGCCAGCTCGCCGCATTGTCAGGAGCCTCCAGAGCTCATCAGGAGGACCGTCTCCTCTGCACCTGCACCCGTGCCCAGGGGTCCGCTCCAAGCACAGCTAACGAAGCCACAGTGGAAGGCGGCAGAGATGAGGGCATTTTAGTGGCTCAGCTTCGGGTGGACTGTGGGTGGAGCCGAGTGTGCAGGGCTGGGGAAGACCAGCAGGTGTGGGACCCTTCACTTGTCCGTGTTCCCCTTTCCTCTCCACATGGGCAGGATGCTCAGGCCCACAGGTGAGGGATGGCTCCCTCTGAACCCAGCCATAGGGACCCTTTCAATCCCTGTACCCCGCCTGTCACTCTGCAGCCTCAAAGGCTGCAAAAGGCTCTCTTTGCCCTTTATAGTGATGTTCAGCCCCTGCTGTGGCCCCCATGTCTAATGAGAGATGTGGCCCCACCTTCCAGAACAGTGCACAGATCTCTGCTTCTGTGTCGAGGGACTTTTTCCTGCCCGCCCCAGGCTGGAAGGCTCTGCCAGCTGCCCCTGCCTTCAGGGCTGGTCCCAGAGCATCATTTACATCTCAGCTCCCTGGGGCCCTCCTGCCTGCTCCACAGGAGAGCACTACCTATAGCCGCTCCCCCCAAGCCCGCCCTTTAAGAACCCTCTGCACAACTGCGCTGCCACTCTGCACTTGGAGTATTGCTGTGTTCCTGTGTCTGTTTCTGTGGATTCCCTCTCCCCACAGGAATGGGAGCTCTGTGCCAGCAGGGGCCTCCCCCATCAGTCCTGTTCAGAGAGTGTCCCAGTGTGGGGTCTGCAGCAGACGCTGGTGAAAAAGTCTGAAAAAAATGAATAAATGCCAGTGTTCTGGGTCTGTTGGTATAGGAGGGAGTCCCTGCTTTGCTGGGAGCTGATGGACACATAGTCATGCACTTAGAGTCACGTGTCCTGAGAGTCAACACTACAGAGTGCATGCTCAGCGTGCAGGAGGTCCTGGGTTCATTCCCCAGTACCTCCATTAAAAAAAGTAAATAAATAAATAAACCTAATTACTCTTCTCCCCCCAAAAAATAAACAAACAGAAATCATCCTCTTGTTCACTTAAAAGCACTGAGAGCCACTCTTGCTTCAATGATTCTTACTGTTTTATAGAAAAAAAATGCAAAGGAAGTCAGCCATTACTGTCAGAGCTAAGCTAAGCTTTCTGATGACTGATGCGCTCGCTTACCTAACAACTTGGAGGTTTCTTGGAGACCCTGGCATCGCTGTATCGGAACAAACCATGGATGATAGGGTCAATGCGTGTTGGTACCCTGTTTCCAACTTTCTTCATACCCTCCTGGACACCTCAGAGGGAGGCTGAGCCCTGCAGGGCATGCTCCCCAGACCCCGCTGGACAGCAGTTCAGACCCTGATCGAGCTGGTTCAGAGTGTCTATACGTGCTGCTCTGACTCTAGTGCTGCTTCTGCAGCCCGTCAGTCCTGCTTCTGAGGAACCTGGGTCACTGTTTCACTGTGACATGCATAACGACGGCAGTGGTGTGTTCTGTGCCCTGAGCAACCTCGGGAAGGGGGCTCTTGCTCTCTCAGCCTCTCTGATCTCTCAGACTGCAGTTTTTTAAAGTTAAAGGGAACATGCTTGACCCTAACTGGCAGGTTTATGTCCCCACTGGCTGACAATTTCATACCTGTCATTGCTCTTAAAAAGTTGGAGGGACCCAAGTGCCCTCTCCTTCAGAGACTGTGTGTGTTGGCTGATGGATCCAGAATCCAGTGGTCGTGTCTCAAGCTCACCGTCCTGTCATAGATTTCAAATTATGTGTTCATTTTTAAGTCCTGTTCCTGAGACTTTCCTGTTTAAAGATACGACTAGTAAGTTCCTCCTTAGCTCAGCTGGACTGGCTTGCTCTGCAATTCCTTGTCAGTTGCAGTGGGTGCCATTTCCAAAACTTGAGAATTTAAAGGGACACCGTGGCTTCCAGGATACCTTCACGGATAGTCTTGGCTTTTACACGTGCAAATGCAATGCCCTCTTCTTTGCACTTCTCCACCGGAAGGGGACACTTTCTCTTTTGAAGTTGAGCTGCTGGCGGGAAAACCTAACCTCTACGGATTTCCCACCCCTGTCTGTCACAGCCACCTCCGACCCCAGGAAACCACCAATCCGCTTTCTGTCCCTGTAGGTTAGCTTGGCTTCCCTGCGACTTTACATAAATGGAAAACATGTCGTGCGCTCTTTTTGGATAGCTTCTCTCACTCGGCGTAATGACTTTGAGATCCAGCAAGGCTGTTGCTTGGATCAGTGCTTCATTCCTTCTCACTGCTGGGGAGCATCATGTGTACGGGGGTGCAGCTGCCTGTTCGCCCGTCAATGGGTGATGGACAGTTGGGTTGTTTCCACTTTTTGGCTGTTACAAATGGAGAGCCATGGGCATCTGTGTCCAGGGGTTTGAATAAAAGTGTGTATATGTATGTTTTTTACTCTTAGGGCAATGCCTACAAGCGGAATGGCTCAACCATAAGGTAGGTGTAGCCTTAACTTTTCAAGAAAGAGACACATTCTTTTTCAAAGTCATTGTTTATTTCAATCAGCAACCGCATCTTGTCTCTGATCTTGATAGGAAAGCCTCGTCCTTTCACCTCAAGGCCGATGTTACCTCGACTGTAGCTGTCTCACAGACGCCGCTTTTCCAGTTCCTTCTGCTCCTGGTTTGCTGAAAGCTTTGTGAAGAGTGGATGCTGAGTTCCATGAAATGCCTTCCCGCTTTAACTCGGATGTCCATGTGCATCTTCACTTTGTGTTTGTTAACATGACAAGTGACATGGATGGATTTTTGAATGCTCATTCCACTTTGCATTTCTGGTCGTGGTCTGGTCTGGTTATTTGCACTTCAATTCACTTGGCCATGACGCATTTTATATATTGTTGAATTCGATTTGCTAACATTTTTGTTTTAGGGTTTTCCCTCTTTCATGTTCCTGAAGTCTATAGATTTCTTTTCGTGTAATATCTTTGACTTTTTCAAACGGGGGCCTCATAAAATGAGCTGGTAAGTACTGCCTCCTTTTCAGTTTTCTAGTTGAGTTCATGTAGAATTATAGTTATTTCTTCCTTCCATGTTGGCAGCATCCACCAGTGAAGCCATCTTTTCCTGATAGTTCTCTGAGGGGAGTTTTTGACTATAAATTCAGTTACTTGCATAGACATGAATCTGATTTAGGTTATCTCCTTCTTGGCTGCATTTTAATAGTTTCTGTCTTTCAGGGGTTTACCCATTTCATGTAAGCTGTCAACTTTTCTGACGTAAAATTGCTCATAACATTCCCTTAGTATCTTTAAAAATGCTTACGTGCGGTAAAATACACGTAACATAGAATTTACCATCTTAACCATCTTTAGGTGGACGCTCAGTAGTGTTGAATCTGCTCACACTGTTGTGCAGCCGGGCTCCAGGACTCTCTTCGTCTCGCAAAGCTGAGACTGGCCCCATCAGGGAGCCCTTCATCTCTGCTGTGCCCCCGCCCCGGCACCCCCGTTCCACGTTCTGCCTCTAGATACTTCACGTGGGTGGACTCGCACCGTGTTTGCCCTTTGTGATTGGTTTATTTCGCTTATTATGATGTTCTTAAGCTCCATCCAAGTGTGTAGCATGTATCAGAGTTTCCTTCTTTTTAGAAGAGTGAGTAACATCCAGCTGTGTGTATACACCGCCTTTTGTGCTCTGTTCCTCCACTGATGGACCCTCGGGTTCCGCCTTTGGGTTGGTGTGAGTAACGCTGCTGTGGCCGTGGAGGCACAGGCCCCTCTGAGAGCCTGCTGCTCTTTCCTTGGATGTATGCCTAGGGTTGGAATTAGTGGATCACTTTACATTCCCACCAACAGTGTTCAAGGGTTTCAGTTTGCTACACATTCTCACCAAAGCATGTTATTTCAATTTCTGTTCTTTTTGGTAGTAGCCAGTGCCCATGAGGCGATAGCTTATTGAGGTTTTATTTACATTTCCCTGGTGACTGCTGAGCACTTTATATGCTTATTGGCCGTTTCTATACTGTCTTTGGAAAAATGCCTGATGAAGTCCTGTGCGTATTATCCTGTGGAATCTGTAGACTCTGTAAGGATGCCATCTCCTGCAGTCCTGATTTCGATAATTTGTGTTTTCTCTCTCCTTTTCCTGACCAGTCGGGTAGAGGCTTACCGACTCCATGAACCTTCCAAAAAGGCAGCTTTAATTACATTATCCAAACTTCATTTTCTTGATTGTTTTTCTGTCTTCTGTTTCGTTGATTTTTGTCCTGACGTTCATACGTATTTATTCTACTTACCTTGTGTTCCACTTCCTCTTTCCCTCCAGTTGGACATTGAGGTCATTGATTTCAGCTAATTCTTCTTTCCTAACACAGACATTTAATGCTGTAAACTTCCCACCAATACTGTGACATCCTACAAGTCAATAGGTTGTGTTTGCACTCTGTTCAAAATAGTTTCTCATGTTTTAAAAATTTGCCCTTCGATAGTTTATTTACAAGTATATTATTTAGCTGTTAAGCATTTGGGGATTTTTTTCTAGAGACATTAGTGTGATCACATGCGCCCCAAGGACCCTCTGAAGATCTCTCTCAATGCTGTCCCCTCCCTGCTGCTCTCTGCCGGGAATCGAATCTGCCCGCGCCCACCTGGACTCCCAGCCTCTCAGCCCAGAGAGGCCGCAGGTCTCCAGTGGGGCCTGCCCCCTTCGCCTGGGCCTGGACACGCTCTCAGTAAGGGGAGACAGTAAGGGGAACACATCACCATCTCACGAGTAGGAATCCCAGGGCTCTGACGCCAGCTTGCTTCAGATGCCCCCCTCACCGCTCGCCAAGCCCCCTTCTCCCTGACACCATACCTGGATGCCGAAGTAAACGCTGGTGTCCCCACTTTTTTGCGGGGAAGCCTGGGGGGAGGAACATGGATGGTTTTGCAGGCCTAAGGACAACTCCCAGCAAAGAGGAGATATTTGCTGGATCGGGGACTCTCCCAGCCGCTGTGAGCCTTCCCCTGGCTGGACCTGACATCTGGGCCCAGGGCCCAGGAAGGCAGGCATAGCTGTGTGGGTGGTTCCACGGAGACAGCCACGCGGCATGAAGCCTGCGGGGCCTGAGCCCCCATGATGGGCCCCCGGAGACCGTTGATCTGTTGGCATGGAGCAGCGTGGAGGCTGGGGCCACCCACTGGTGGGGCCGGCGGCTCTTGCCCGGGAGGGCGTGCCCCAGTGAGGACGGAACAGACCAGCCCAGCGCTCCTCTCCACGGCAAATCCCAAAACGCAATCTCCTATTGAGAGGAAATGCCAAATAATAATTCTGACACTCCCCACGGAGCAGCGTCCCAGGGTCTTAAGCAGCTGTAACTGGCAACGCGGCACTGTGACCTCATGCTAAGTTGGGGACTTCATGGTGTTAAGCAACGCCCCGATATTGCAAGTGACAAGCAGACAGCGCCTGGCCCCCACCGAACAGTAACTGCTGCAGTAGGAAGACGTAAACCTTTCATCCGCTGGCCTGGGTTCCTGCTGCAACCAAGCCGGTTGCGTTCCCCGTCTGCACATGTTTCAAATCGAGCAAGGGACAGAAATGAGATACCTAGCCCCGGCTCCCTCTGGCTTTGGCAGAGGGACAGTGACAGCAGTCCCGTTCCAGCTCCCCTCGGCCGGCGGACGTCCTGGAGAAGAAGGGGGCAGCAGCAGGGCCGCATCTCCTCGGCTGCGCGGGGGGAGGAGAGTGCGAGCTTACACCACCGCCAGGTCCACACCGGCTCCCTCCTCTGGTCCATGGCTGCCGCTCCCCACAAACCCCCCTCCCCTCTCCCCTGCACGAAGCACGTGAGGCTCTCCTGACTCCATCTCCCGTCCATAGTGGCGTCTCCTTGACCGCTTCAGCCCAAGAGGATGAGAGCACGCGCTCGCAGGCTCGTTTGCTCAGCTCCCCCGAGAGACGTCCTTCCCTTCCACACCCTGAAGTGGGGGTGAGCTGTCTCCTCAGCGTCGATCCAGCTTTGCGATGCAGCTGCCAGGGCACATCCAGGGTCACGGGGCCGCGTTGCTTCTCCCCGGGGGAGTTATTTCAGAGTCAGCCCTGTCTGATCTGAACGTTTTTAATTCATTTGCTGCAATCTCGTTGGCCTGCAGCTTTGATATGTTTGTGGACGCAGGTGTCGGGAAGAGGGAACCTGAGGATCGTGTCCTTCCCCTGGAGCCTGGAAAATGCTCGCTTCGGGAATAACTCGCGGCAGAGCCCGGGAAGCAGACAAGCGGGGCAGCACCCTTCCTCCTGCCGGGGCTCCAAGCAGAGCAAAGCGCAAATTCTAGCTGGATCTGACGGAGGAGCCACGTCAGCCCCCAGGACCCATGCGGGGCGTGAACCCCAGGCGGCTCTACCTGGATGGAGGCGCGACTCCCCAGCCAGGGGAGCCCTCACGCCTGCTGGCAAGTGTGTTCAGTGTAGCGTCTCCGCCCACTCTGAATGAGCCTCTCCCAAAAATGTTTTTGTGATTTTTAGTGTTTATTGAGTGCGTGTGACCTGCGCTTCCCCCTCCTAGTTTTGGCAATTTGCTCTTATATGAGGGAACGTGTTTTTTTTTTTCTTGTTTTTCCCCTTAAGTGCTGCAGACATGCACTGCCTTGGAAATTTTCCGAGTCTAGCTGGGCACCGCGCAGTTACAGCCCACAGCCCAGCTCTGTGTCAGGGGAAAATTCTAGATCTTAAAATGAATTCATTGTGGTTCCAGGACTCAAGAAATTCTCAGGTTGTGATCAACAAGTTTGACGTTATTGTTGGAAACTGTCAAATGTCTGGAACGTTAAAGAAGCCCCTTCCTTGACCCACGGGGGCGCAGGTACTGCTGCGCTCTTGGAAATGTGAGCGCGTCATTAGACCACTTGGTTTTCTGCTCCCCTTTAACTGGCCCTCCCTGCTGACGTCCCCAGGTGGTGGTCCCCCCACCCCCCGAGTGGCCCTGGCCTTCCTGCTGGGGACCAGATGCCCCTCAAGTATCACGAGCGGTCCACCTTCCATGTCTTTGTCTCCGCCCCCAGACCAGAGGTCAGCAATGACCCGTGAATGAGTGGGGTGGCTGTGTTCCAATAAAACTTTATTTACGAACTCTGAAATTTGAATTTTGTCTCATTTTCATGTGTCATCAAATAGTATTCTTCTTTTACTGTTTTTTAAAACATTTTAAAATGTCAAACCCATTCTTAGCTTGTGGGCCAGGCAAAAACAAGCCTTTCTGTCGACTCTACAAAGGACTAACGTGAGAAGAAACTAGGAGCGTGTGTTGCGCACGGCTTCTTAAACATGCCTTTCCTGGGGCTGCGTTCTCGGGTTCCGGTGACAGTTCTGTTCAGTGCAGGGCTACTGAGCAGCAGACCCTAGGACATCCTCAAGCGGTGACTGTCATCTCAATTAATGTCGCTCAGCTATGCTCCTGTGAGCGTATTCAGCCAGAAGGATGATTTAAATGTTTCTATGGAGAAGTAACTAAGTGAAATGTGCACACAGCTTTTGAAAAACTCGTTAAACTGCAAATAGGCTTAGCAATAAACCTTCTTTGAAAAATTATTGCTGTTTTGAATGATGAATTTTCTTTAAATTAGATCAGGTTATGTTCAGACACATTGCTGAAGCTGCACCTTAAAATTTAAAACCCTGTGATGTATGTGAGAGTGTCTTTCATCCGGGATCTGTCGTCTCATTTCCCCACCTTTCATATGCCGTACATCTCGCGCCTTCCATTTGCTGTTTCTAGTCTTGTCCCTGGCAGTTCCTTGGTTGGCAATTTTCCACCGCTGTTACTGGGGAGTGCATGTGCATAAGATAATTCACTATTCTGGAAACATCCCAGGACAAGGAAGGAGAGGAAAGACTTCTTCCTTTAGTTTCGTATCAAATTTTACTTTAAGTCCCTATGGCGTTTGTAGCCACAGAATTCCCATCCCTGAAATGTTGAATTCTTCAGAAAGGTTCCGGAAATATAAAGCTTTTCAGAAAAGTTACTTGACCTGGAGAGTTAAAAATGTACACTTTATGCATTCTCTTGGTTTCACATGGTTGGAAATTTCTGTGGAATCACTTTTTGGGTTTACTGCTTTTATTTCAAGAGGAAGACAATTCTCATTTTATGGAAATGGTTGGGATAGGATACATTTAAATCAAACTTTTTTTTCTGCTTTCCTGCAGCACTCTGAGAAGCCTATAGAACCAGGATAAGCTTCAGAAAAGAATATTTAAGATACGTTATAATATTTGCAATATTCAGGGTGATGCTGTAGAGAAATCTGATGTTCCTTGCTCACGGCAGCTCAGTCCTCGTTTCCCTGAGAACTGGCTTATGTTGTGTCTGTGTAGCAACAACAAGTCTTTCTAGACACAGCTGTCGTGGAGCCAGGGGTCCCCAGTGAGTCCTCTTTCTCAGGCTACAGGCAGGACTCTGTTCCCTTAGTCAGTAAAAACACACTGAGGACCAGCCAGTGGCTGGGGCCTTGCGCTGTGCCGACCTTTCTCCTTTTCTGCTCTGTTCCTCCATCTCTGAAAACACCCAGCTCCCTCACAAACATGTGCCTTCGGTCACAGGGGGGCCTGGGTGGGAGGCTGCGGCTGGACCAGTTCTCATCCACCACCCCCCGCGGGAAATGACTCAAACCACACAACTCGGTGGCCCTGAGCCACCCAACTCATCCGTGCGGACAAAGGCGGCAGGTCAACATTGCTAACAAAGTGTGACTGCCAGAATGTCTTACGTCTCTCAAACATGTTTATTTCCTCCCATTACTCTTGCATTGCTTCCTGCATCATTGTAAGCATCATTAAGAAATGGGCAAAATCCGTTTATCATTTTCAATTGCACAATACTGAAGTTATCAGTCAGCATTATGGAATCATTCCCTGAGCACTCCCTTGCAAATAGCTGTAGCTTATTACTGGCTCCAAATAATTACTTACTAAATATGATAATTTCTGAAGCATAACTTACATAGGTCAGCAGAATTGTTCATATTAATGCAATTTTGCTTAATAAAAAAGATCTATTGATCTGAATCTAACTTCAGATGTTCAATTTTCTTTATTACCTATCTCTCCCACATGTCTTCATTCAGAGAGTTTATAATATTTTTTTCTTCCAATTACTTACACCACATCCACTTCTGTGAGCATCATCCCCCATCGTCATTTCTCAGGGTCATGTCGATTTAAAATGACAGGGAGAGAGGGGGCTTCCCCGTTACTGAAGCCAATCCGAACCTCGCTGGCACCTCAGCTGATACAGAGATGGTGAGAATGACGATTCAGGCAGAGAAACAGGAGGGTCCCTGGGTTC